ACATTGCCACAAATGTGAATGAATTAATGCCGTGGGTGAGCTGAGTGGTTGGGTGAGTTGAGTAATTGGGTGGGTGGGTGGATGGGTTGAGTGAGTGAGTGCAGGAGTGAGTATGTGGATGACTGACTGAATGGGTTGGGGGGTGAGCCTTATCTGCAATTCGTCAATTCTCGGACAAAGCAACCGATTGGGCTACATCACTTTGAATCTCTCATAGCTTGCTTTTCATTGGCTGTACGAAATCATCACAACCAACGATGCAGCAAGAGTCCATATGAACACACTGATAGCCACGCACACAGGCTTAGAGACGTTTTTTTTGTATTATTCCGGGGAAAATCTCGAGCCTTTTCTTTTCAGTGGAAGGTCCTGCCTGTTTTTTGCAGTGGGGGTCGATGGTGCTGCTGTGTGGAAACCCCAATTGAGTAAATTGTAGGGTGATTTTTGAACAGTCTGTATGTTTGGCCAATACCAGTCACGTATGTTTATATTCTTAGGTTTTTTTCGGTAAAGTCACGTAGGTAAAAAATAAAATTAATAAAAGTAAAATGAAAAATAAATAAAAATCACGACGTTTCGGAGGCAACACAAGCTTCCGTCTTCAGGTGGAACCGTCACAGCACGATAGCTGTATCAAGTGAGAGAAATTCCAAGAAAACAGTCCTTGTATATATACTGGTTGAGGGTGGGAGGAGCCAAGGTAGGCTCTGAATATTATTTTTGTGAGGTTCGGTGCGACTGTTTTCTTGGAATTTCTCTCACTTGATACAGCTATCGTGCTGTGACGGTTCCACCTGAAGACGGAAGCTAGTGTTGCCTCCGAAACGTCGTGATTTTTATTTTATTTTTATTTTACTTTTATTAATTTTAATTTTTTACTTACGTGACTTTACTGAAAAAACCTAAGAATATGAATCCTTGCAGTCACGAAAGCTTCAAATCTAGAATCACGTATGTTTGTTTGTGTGTGTTTAACTTTGGGAGAAAATCAATGAACCCAGAGGAAAACCCAGAAGAAAACCCATGCACAACAGGGTGGTGGTGGGGGGGGACATACAAACTAGACAGAAATATAGGTGCGACGGTGGGCGAGATGATAACTATCTCGTATTGGTGTACGGTGCTTTTTAATCCTTTATATTAAGTTCGCATGCTTGCTTGCTTGCTTGCTTACGACCGTGCAAATCTTTCGGTCATTTTTTAACCCACTTCCCGTGATCCAATCGAGCTTACATTTTGCACACAGACTCGTTGTGCGAGACAATTAATGTTCGTGAAAATTTTTTTCAAAAATTTTACACTGTTTAGGGAAAACAAATTAAATATTTAATTACCAATTGCTTAATACTGGCAGACAATCATCTGACCCATAGGTGGCAGCCAACCTCAAGCCAGAGGACGAGAAGACTCTAGCCGCCACGCATATAAAGGATTTATAGTGGAAAACTTTGTTTTTACGGGTTATACTTTTTTCTGCAATCTTTTGGGGTCTTTTCTTGGATTTTCTGTTTGCACATAGTCACTATAACATGTATTTCTTGTTCATGTTTTTCTTTTTTGTTTGTTGCGGTTGCACCCTATTCAAGAGCCGAATGGCTCACAGGGCTATACCTCATAAATGAACTTGAAACTTGTATGGTATACAGGAAGTTGTGGGTTCGATCTCCACCCTGACGCCTGTATTTTTGGAGTTTGCATGTTCTCACCGTGGTCGCGTGGATTTTTCTTTGGGTCCTCCGGTTTTCCCCCCTCCACATTTAGAATGCACATCACGCGGCTTCGAGTATTTGACTGCTATACATTTCTACGTGATAAGCCCCCTTCGTTGAGCCCATAATTTGTGGCCAGGTCGCTTCTGAAACCGAGTTATATAATTCTAGATTTGAAGCTTTCGTGACTGCAAGGATTCATATTCTTAGGTTTTTTCGGTAAAGTCACGTAGGACGGTTCCACCTGAAGACGGAAGCTTGTGTTGCCTCCGAAACGTCGTGATTTTTATTTTATTTTTATTTTACTTTTTAGATTAAAAAAATGTTACCTACGTGACTTTACCGAAAAAACCTAAGAATACGAGTTATATAGCTCAGTGGGACTTGCCTCGTAAAATTAATTTTGAAAATTGAAAGTTTGAGTCGGGAATGGAACCCAGGCCCGTCTTGCTGCGAGGCATGAGCGGTTATCACTGCGCCGCTGCCGCCCCCAATTCATGAAGTCCATTAACAACAACAAAATTAACCCGTGAAAACAAAGTGTTTCACTATAAATCCTTTATATGCGTGGCGGCTAGAGTCCTCTCGTCCTCTGGCTTGAGATGGCTGCCACCTATGGGTCAGATGATTGTCTGCCAGTATTAAGCAATTGGTAATTAAATATTTAAAAAAATTCCCCTAAACAGTGTAAAATTTGGGAAAAAAATTTTCACGAAAATTAATTGTCACGCACAACGAGTCTGTGTGGAAAATGTCAGCTCGATTGGCTCACGGGAAGTGGTTTAAAAACGACCGAAAGATTTGCACGGTCGTAAGCAAGCAAGCAAGCACGCAAGCACGCAAGCAAGCAAGCGAACTTAATATAAAGGATTTAAAAAGAGCTGACCACACAGACACAGCGTTGCGGACATACAGCCACTCAACAATGCATATCGCCAAAGAGTCAAATAGCCAGACGGATACACAGCCCAGCACAGAAACCTGTAATTAATACGACTCCCAGCCATGCAGACACGCAGCTTTACAGACAATTAACAAAAGACAACCACACGCAGCCTTGTAGACATTTATTCAATTAACAATCATGATAGCCACACAGACAGGGCCTTACAGATAGAACAGGCATGCATTGAGTGAACCATGCAGTTAGCCACGCACATAAAGACAAATATCCCCTGTATAGCCTGCAAGGATTTTTGGGGCAAGAGGCTGTGAGCGAGCATGGGGCAGTTGGTGACCAGCAACACGCTCGGCCGCCTTTGTCTCCGCAGTGACGATGATTACACATCGCACCAGGTATTCATTTGAGGCTGAGTCAACCTGGGGGGAAACCCATGATCGTTGTAAATAATCGTCGCTGGTGTTGGCCGTGAGTAGGAATCGAACATGGGCCCCGCTGGGTTAGTGGTGCAGCGCGCTAGCCACTACACTACCGCTCCCCACTACAGCTGTACAGACACACAGCCAATGAATGTAGACACGACACCCGGGTAGACGGATATCTACACAGACCGAATGATAGCCGCACACGCACACGGCGGGATTACAGACGGACACGCAGACCGTTACCGAGCGAAATAGCTGCACAAATTCACCGATACAGATCGCGATGAGCACGTAGCCTCACAGCGAGACAGCCGTGAATTTAATGAACCTTGAGTATAGCCACGTAGACATAACACGTACAGACGCACAGCTTTGCAGGCAGATTGACGGGCAGAGAGTTAACAATGGATACCGCTCGCAATAACAACTGGCTGATTCCAGGCTCATGTCTCCACTCATTCATGTGTCTGGCATCTTGCTAGACAATTGTCTGGCTTTTAAGACCGGTCATTACAGCCTCAATCCCTCCTAATCCACACCTCGCCCCTATACTCACCCTTCCTCGAACCTCACCCTCCATTCACGCCCCTAATCCTTTTTCCATAATTCTCAGCTCACCCACAGACACCGACTCACTCTCCCCTCACCCTCTCCTCAAACCATGTACCGCTTTCCTTCCATGGATTGCCCTTTACGCCTATTCACTTATCCGTGTTATCACTCACCTGCTCACCCATCACCACGCTCAACTTCCCCAATTTCAATTGGGCAGCTGAAACCTGGATTCGAACCCAGAATCTCAGCAGCGTCGGCTCTGACCTCTGAACCGCCCGGGTTATCTTTTCCCCAAACTTTCGACTCCCCTCCCCAACCACACTCCTCCCCCTCCTCTCCAGCTATGAAGTGTCCTGGTTCTCCTGTGGTTTCACAAAATGTCGGTGCCCCCCCCCCCCTTCCTCGTTTGAAAACTGGGATTTCGTCTCCGGCTTTAACATTTTTGGCCACGTGCTCGACTCGTGATGACGCGGGCAAACGGCCGAGGCTACCTGAGCAGGTGGGCGGGGCTGACAGCTGAGTGGGCGGGGCCTACGAGCGGTGGACGGCTAAGTAGGCGTGGTTATGAGAAAGTGGGTTGGGCTTCATCTTCTTGGTTCTTTCGGTAAAGTCATGTAGAAGGAAAATAATAAAATAATAAAAATAAAACATAATAAAATAATTCTCACGACGTTTCGGCCACAACGCAAGCAGCCGTCTTCAGGTGGAGAACAGGTCTGTCGAGAAGACAGTCTCCACCTGAAGACGGCTGCTTGCGTTGTGGCCGAAACGTCGTGAGAATTATTTTATTATGTTTTATTTTTATTATTTTCCTTCTACGTGACTTACCGAAAGAACCAAGACGATGAATCCCTGCAGTCACGAAAGCTTTAAATCGAAATTTAACGTCCTGTATACCCAGGAACGTGTCTCCCGAGTCTCATGACAGGGACTTGCATTGGGATGTTTGGTCAATTCCGTTGCTGAGAGTTTGGTTTCGTGTGATAGTATGCAGAACACCACCGTGGATTTGAAGGTATAACCACACTAGAAAATTCCGCACCAATTGATTAAAGATTCAATTGATTCAATAATCAATTGATTCAATAATTATATTATCCATTCTCTTTGGTTCTTTCGGTAAAGTCACGTAGGTAGAACGTTTTAATAAAAAAAAAATTCATTTTTTTGTAAAATTTTTCAACCTACGTGACTTTACGGAAAGAACCAAAGAGTGGATTCCTGTAGTCACGAAAGCTTTAAATCGAAATTCTAGTGGGTTGGGCTTAAGGGAAGGGAGGGGGGGCTGCCAGCCTTACCGTGCATCTCGGTTGAGCCTCCCAGGATCGTAACAGCTTCATCGGAGAGTGCGTGCGAGCAAATAACTCTGAATTGCTCCCCTCTCCTCCTGCCCCCTGCGCTGTGCGTCAGGACGAGATGGAGGAGATGAAGGCGGAGATGGAGGAGATGCGCGACTCGTACCTGGAGGAGGACGTTGCAGGCCCTTGCAGGAGCTGCGTCGCGAGCTCGACCGCACCAACAAGAGCGTGCGCATCCTGCAGTACCGCCTGCGCAAGGCCGAGCGCAAGGGCATGAAGGCGGCGCAGGGCGGCCACCTGGACGGGGAGCTGGTGCGAGCCATGGAGCAGGACCTCAAGGTGGGCACGGCGTGAACCGGCGCCGCTCAAGACGGCGCTGGTGGCGGCCCCTGGCAGTGGACCCGGTGCCCGGAGCGTGCGATTGAAACGGAACTTGGAGCGACTCGCACGACGCTGTACCGACCGATGAGATGAATTGACCATCTTCTTGGTTCTTTCGGTAAAGTCACGTAGAAGGGAAGTAATAAAATAATAAAAATAAAAACATAATAAAATAATTCTCACGACGTTTGCGGCCACAACGCAAGCAGCCGTCCTCAGGTGAAGACCAGGTCTGTCGGGGAGACAGCGTCTGAATGGTCTTCACCTGAGGACGGCTGCTTGCGTTGTGGCCGAAACGTCGTGAGACTTATTTTATTATGTTTTATTTTTATTATTTTATTATTTCCATTCTACGTGACTTTACCGAAAGAACCAAGAAGATGAATCCCTGCAGTCACGAAAGCTTTAAATCGAAAATTAATTGACCCGTCGATCGCTTGCCAACGAATCGACGCAGTGGTTAACCCTCCATGAATCGATACTCTCACGTGCCTGTTGGATGGACTGTGAGCAGAATCGTTACAATAGACACCTCGATTCAGGTTCCGCAAGACCAAATATGGGCAGAGACATGCCCCTACAACAGGCAACACTACACCTACATTCTTCCATATATGGATAGATCGATGATTATGCCGGGTGTCCGATTTTATTGTATTGCAGTGCCCCACGCTTACACGGACGCCAACAACTCCAATGACTCCAACCGTTGATAAAACTGACACCTTTTTTACAAGGAGTCATGTTTGCATTGACCACAATACCTGCAGTCATAATGCAAACAAAAATATAACTCTGATAATGTATGCACTGTCCTTGAAGTTGATTGGTCCACACCCAAGACAGCTTTCCTTAGAGCCTAGTAAGCATTTACACCATTGGAAAATGCTTACCCCGAGCTCTCATACTCTGATGGTGCACTGTCTTTTGGTGTCATCTGGTCCAACACAATGTGAGACTAGGCTCTAAGGAAAGCTGTCTCGGGTGTGGACCAATCAACTTCAAGGACAGTGCATACATTATCAGAGTTGTGCTTTTTGTTTGCATTATGACTGCAGGTATTGTGGTCTATGCAAACATGACTCCTTGTAAACAAGATGTCAGTTTTTTTGCCAGATAAAAGGGTAAAAAAACAATTATCATATTTTTTCTTCTGGCAAATGAGACTCCAACCGTTGTTATCCTGATGCTGTCCCGAGCAGAACTGGGGACACTCGGCACATTCGCCAATAACACTGCGGACGTGGTTGTCGGCCACACACCTCCGCACGTGCCGTGCCGGCCTTCTTAGGTGCTCGCTAATGGCGCTTGCCCCAACAGTCCATCAAGACGATATGGGGGACCTCTGAGTGCATTCTGTGTGTAGGTGCGGAGCGGTGGTGTAGCGGTTAGGGCACCGCGCTACGAAGCTGAGGACCCGAGTTCGATTCCCGCTCGTGGTCAACACCAGGTGACGATTATCTGAACCAGTCCTGAGGCTCCCCTAGGTCGACTCAGCCTCAAATTACTACCTGGTCCTGTGTGTAATTACACTGGTCAACAAAAAAATAACATTTTTTTCTGGCCTGGACTTTTGCAGCTGTTTTAGACTAATTTCAGGGTGCTGATTCCAAATCTGATCTCAGATTTGCTCTATCACATCTCATGTTTATGCTATCGGCATACCCCATTTTCATTGATTTTACCCGAAATTAACTCTGTCACTTATGATTGCAAGTTGTTGCGAGTCAGTGACTGCTTTAGTATTAAAATATGGTGCTGTATTTTTAGGATAGTGTGTTTATAATATCATTTTATGTAGATATCCACATTTATTTAATATTTTTCTTCTGCAGTTTTTTTATTGAAAATGCAATATTTGATATCTCAAAAACCTGATGTGATAGGCAAAAACTGATGCCAGATTTGGAATCAGCACCCCAAAATTACCTTAAAACCGTTGGAATACCTTATGCCAGAAAAAGTGTGTTGACCAGTGTAATCCCCACTGGGTCGTGGTGCTGGCCACCCACCCCCCGTGTGCCGCGCCGGCCTTGACGGGTGCCGCTCGCTCGCAGCACTTGCCCCAACAGTCCGCTAAGGTTACACGGGCGATCTTTGTCTTTGCAGGTGGCCAAGGACGTGTCGGTGCGTCTGCACCGCGAGCTGGAGAGCGTGGAGGAGCGGCGCGCACGCCTCGACGAGGAGAACGACGCACTGCGCGAGCGGCTCGTCGAGCTGGACACGGCCAGACAGGCGCTCGCCAACGAGGTGGAGCGCACTCGCGAGGTCAGGGGTCAGGGTTTGGGGGGGGTCACCGTTACGGGTCGGGGTTAGGGGTGAGGGAAAGGGGGGATCGACACGGAGAGGCACGCGCTCGCTAACGAGGTGGAGCGCACTCGCGAGGTCAGGGGTCAGGGTTGGGGGGGGAGGTGGGGGTCACCGTTACGGGTCAGGGTTAGGGGTGAGGGAAAGGGGGGGTCGACACAGAGAGACACGCGCTCGCTAACGAGGTGGAGCGCACTCGCGAGGTCAGGGGTCAGGGTTGGGGGGTGGTGGGGGTCACCGTTACGGGTCGGGGTTAGGGGTGAGGGAAAGGGGGGGTCGACACGGAGAGACACGCGCTCGCCAATGAGGTGAGCCATGCCTGTGGAGTCGGGCACTGCCACATACACATTGAATTAGTGGTTGGTTAGGGTCAAAGTTAATGGTCGGAGTTAGGGGTTAGAGTTAGGCGTAAAGGAAAGGGGTACAGATAGGAGTACGGTCATGGATAGGGCTGGGGGAACGGCAGGGAATAGGCGTGAGGGATAGGGGTCGCATTATGGGCCGTGGTAAGTGTAAGGAGATAGGGGGACGGGATAGTGGTTAGGGATAAATGGAAGATGTGAGAAACCTACGGTTCCGGGAAGTGACCTCCTCTAAACTAAACTGCTTACATTTCGATTTAAAGCTTTCGTGACTGCAGGGATTCATCTTCTTGGTTCTGTCGGTAAAGAACAGGTCTGTTCTTCACCTGAGGACGGCTGCTTGCGTTGTGGCCGAAACGTCGTGAGAATTGTATTTTATTATGTTACATTTTTATTATTTTATTATTTCCCTTCTACGTGACTTTACCGAAAGAACCAAGAAGATAAACTGCTTACTATATATATTTTTACCAAGTAAGGCCCACTGAGCTACATAGCTCTTTTTCAGTAGCAACCTGGCCACAAATGATAGCTCAACGGAATTGGTTTATCACGTGGACAATTATAGCAGCCAAATGCTCTATATGCGTGGTTGTTGATTCTAAATGCGGAGGGGGAAACCGGAGGACCCGGAGAAAAATCCACGCCACCCCGAGGAGAGAGAGAGTTAGGCACGCAAACTCCAAATATACAGCAGCAGGCGTCAGGGTCTGGATCGAACCAACGACCGCCTGCGTACCAGGCGAGAGGTAGTTGACATCTCCTAGCCACCGTGATGATGATGAGAGAGAGACACGCAAACTCCAAATATACAGCAGGCGTCAGGGTCGGGATGGAAACCCACGACCTCCTGTGTACCCAGCGAGGTAGTTAACATCTCCTAGCCACCGTGATAATGATGATGAGAGAGACACGCAAACTCCAAATATACAGCAGGCGTCAGGGTCGGGATGGAAACCCACCACCTCCTGTGTACCCAGCGAGGTAGTTAACATCTCCTAGCCACCGTGACGATGATGAGAGAGAGAGATACACAAACTCCAAATATACAGCAGCAGGCGTCAGGGTCGTGATCGAACCCACGACCTCCTGTATACCAGGCGAGGTAGTTAGCATCTCCTAGCCACCGTGATGATGATGAGAGAGAGAGAGAGACACGCAAACTCTAAATATACAGCAGGCGTCAGGGTTTGGATCGAACCGACGACCGCCTGCGTACCAGGCGAGAGGTAGTTAACATCTTCTAGCCACCGTGATGATGATGATGAGAGAGAGAGACACACACAAACTCCAAATATACAGCAGCAGGCGTCAGGGTCCGGATGGAAACCCACGACCTCCTGTACACCAGGCGAGGTAGTTAACATCTCCTAGCCACTGTGACGATGATGAGAGAGAGAGACACGCAAACTCAAAATATACAGCAGGCGTCAGGGTCGTGATCGAACCGACGACCGCCTGCGTACCAGACGAGAGGTAGTTGACATCTCCTAGCCACCGTGGCGCACGGTGGCCACGCGACGTCTGTCCGTCCCCCCCACCCCCCCTTCGCGAGCATCTCGGCCGCACGGTTCTCTCTCTCTCTCTCGCGCTCGCCGCCGTCGATTCTGCCACCGCCAAGGGGCTCCTTGCAGGAAGTGGGCGAGGTGCGCCGCACACGGTGTGGACGTTGTGGATGTTGTAATCGTTGTAGTTGTGGTCGTTGTGGTCGTTGTGGATGTTGTGATCATTGTCGTTGTGGGCGTTGTTGTTGTGATCGTTGTGGATGTTGTCGTTGTAGTTGTGGACGTTGTTGTTGTGATCGTTGTGGTCGTTGTTGTTGTGATCGTTGTGGTCGTTGTGGATGTTGTGATCATTGTCGTTGTGGACGTTATTGTGATCGTTGTGGACGTTGTCTTTGTGATCGTTGTGGACGTGGTCGTTGTGGATGTTGTCGTGGTGGATGTTGTGGTCGTTTTGGTCGCCCACCGTGGGTTTTCGTCACAAATCCTATTTGGCCCCTTGGGGTGTCGGGAACAGATTTTCCACCCCTGGCAGAGGGCACAGGCGGTGAGAACGTCAAGAACGAAATGAATGAATTGTAATCGATGTACAGCCCGTTGTCAATCCACTGCTGGATGAATGCCTCCCCCCCCATACGATGATTATTGATTAAGGTTGGTTTTACCATTCTTAAGTACGCAGGTTCGTGCGGGGTTGGTGAATGGGTGGGTGTACCCAGGACGGATTCAAACATCGCGCACCACTAATGCTACCGAGCTATCACCGTTTTTGTGGTGTAGTGTGTAAAGCACTGCCACTGCTCCACACACACTCCACATACACACATTCCCTACATACACACATTCCCTACACACACACACATTCCCTACACACACACTCTGCACACACTTTCCCTGCACACACTTCCAAAAACACACGTGCCCCCTACACACTCGCACACTCCCTACGCGCACGAGTGTGTGGAGTGGAGATGCGGGTGGCGTGAGTGAATTCACAATTTCAAATCGAACAATCAAAACCAGGCCTCTCCATCGTGCCCCACCATCATCACCACCACCATCACCACCATCACCACCACCATCATCATCATCACCATCATCATCACCATCATCATCACCACCATCACCACCACCATCATCATCACCACCACCATCACGACCACCACCACCATCACCACCACCACCATCATCATCACCACCATCACCACCACCATCATCATCACCACCACCATCACGACCACCACCACCACCATCATCATCACCACCATCACCACCACCATCATCATCATCACCACCACCACCATCACCACCACCACCACCATCACCACCACCACCACCATCATCATCACCACCATCACCACCACCATCACCACCACCACCATCACCACCACCACCACCACCATCACCACCACCACCGCCACCATCACCACCACCGCCACCATCACCACCACCACCACCATCATCATCACCACCATCACCACCACCATCATCATCACCACCATCACCACCACCACCATCACCACCACCACCACCATCACCACCACCACCATCACCACCACCACCATCATCATCACCACCATCACCACCACCATCATCACCACCACCACCATCACCACCACCACCATCACCACCACCATCACCACCACCACCACCATCACCACCACCACCGCCACCATCACCACCACCGCCACCATCACCACCACCACCACCATCATCACCACCACCATCACCACCATCATCACCACCATCATCACCACCACCACCACGTTCTCCCCGCTATGGCGACTCGCAGGGCTTCAGAGTCGTGTGTGTCTCAGCGTAGGGTCCGCTATTTGTGTCAAAGTGTGTGGTTTGTGGCAGTGTGGTGTCGGTGTGGTGTCAGTGTAGGGTGTGGTGTCAGTGTAGAGTGTGGTGTGTGATAGTGTGGTGTGTGATAGTGTGGTGTCAGTGTAGAGTGTGGCGTGTGAGTGTGGTGTGTGATAGTGTGGTGTCAGTGTAGAGTGTGGCGTGTGATAGTGTGGTGTCAGAGTGTGGAGTGTGGTGTCAGTGTCGGGGTGTGTGATAGTGTAGTGTTAGTGTAGAGTGTGGTGTGTGTGTGTGTGTCAGTGTGGTGTGTGTGTGTGTGTCAGAGTAGGATGTGTGATCGTGTGGTATAAGTGTGAAGTGTGGTGTCGGTGATACTTATGTTTCAGAGTGTGGTGTGTGTGCGTGTGTCAGTGGTGTGTGTGTCAGTGTGGGTTGTGATAGTGCTCTTTGTGTGTGTCGGTGTCGTGTGTGTGTGTCAGTGAGCTGTGTGACAAGAGTGATCTTTGTGCGCGGTGCGATGGAGTGTTTGAGGGTGTGTTTGAAAGGATGGTGTGTGTGTGATGCTGGTGTTTGACAGTTATGGAAGTGCGAGAGAATGAGTGAGAGTGATCGTGAGCAATGTATTACGTGTATCAATGTACGGTGCACTGTGTGTGACAGAAGGGAGCGTTTGCCATGTGGCTGTGTTTGCATTGGTGTGCGTGTGTGTGTTTGTGAGTCTGTGGTGTGCGTTGGCGCAGTGGTTAGAGCACTGCCCTCACGAACCCGACGACGCCGGATTTCATTCTCGACCGGTTCCTGTGCCCTCCACTAGGTCGACTCAGACTAAAACGAGTGTGTACCTCCTGCGATGTGTAAAACATCGACATCGGGGTGACAAATACGGCCGGGCGTGACAGTTCTGGCCACAACCACCACCTCGTGCGCCATGCTGTGACGGCCTTCATAAGTTTTTGCCTAAGAGCACTTGCCCCAACATCGTACTTGGGCTACACGGGACATCTTTGTCTTTTGTATGAATGTGTACTGCGTCGTGTATATGAATACATTGGCAATCGTAGAGGATTTTGCCCACATCTTACAGGCTTTAGCATCACACTCAATGGAAGGCAACCTACTTTGTTTACCAATTATGGGAATCGTAGATTTTCAGATGTTCAGCATGAGACTGGCAACGATGTTCAACGTTCGGTTGAGGATGCTGTCAGAGTGAAACCCGCGCAACTTGCGCACTGTCATTTTTGGGGAACCAAATTGTGGCAGTGTTGGTTTTGGGATGTTTCTAGTTGGA